GCCTTTTAGCTTCAAGGTTCCGGGTTCGATACCCGATGGCTATAATCAATGAGGAAATCTGTAGGTACGACCCGCCCCCTAATTGGAATATCATTATCACGTCCTTAAAGATGGTTCGATTTTTTAGTAGTATATTAATAGTTTGATTTTGTTGCCTTCAATTCTTAGCATCGATCTAATATACCTACTTATATTGTGAATATTTTCGATGGTCAACCATCGATAGTCAAACTTTCGCTAGCGTTGACTTTTGCCTGAATAAAGTCGGACGATCGGTGTTAGGCTTTTTGATCACTTGTCCGGCTTTTTTTAGCGGGTAAGTCCGGTTTTCTGTTTTTTAGAGAAGGCAAAGCTAGTCCTGCAACACTAAAAAGAACACTACCTTATTGTGGTTTGGTGTTGTGGCGGCGACATCTACATGCATGCCCCACATATAACCAACATAGAGGAATTAATCACTCGCCTCTTCAAGAGATGGCGCTACCGGCGCTGCACTCAAATAGTATGGAAGCCTACATCGCACAAGTGAAATTCGGCGGCCAACAGTTCATATATACAATGCCCGACCAACATCAGTCGGGCCGCGGCTCCCGAGCTGCCATAATCCAGCTTGGAGGAAGATCTTCCCCTTTGGCCTTCTTACAGTGTTTCTGTCAATAAGTAGAGTCGTCTTGCGCTCCACCAGATAGGGGATGGGAATATGGTAGGCAACGCACGAGTCTGGTATTGCAAGCGTCTTTAAGCGGGAATATCGTTAAAGTTATGGCGCGACAATTGGTCGTAAACCCGAATACGAGTGCCAGTGGAGTTCGGGTAAACGACTAAGGCCTGTATTATAGAAAGATTCTAGTGATTGATCTAGTCCTGAGCATAGTTAGAAAGGGATGTCGCTATATATAGCACATAGCGCTAATCCTTTCTAACTGTACTCAAGTAAAGATCAACACTTAGTTGGCATTCTGTAATACGGGCCTAAGTGTAAATGAACGGAGTAGAGTACGCATCCGTGTTCGGGTAGTTTTCGTATTGGTCACCCGACACCCAGCCCGTATTCTAGTGTAAATATTGCTTCGGGTGCCTGAATTCGAGTAATGTCTGTCGTGCACCCGAATACGGTCCAACGACTAAATGTGCTCGAGCCATTAGTTATGTTATATTGTGATGTTGCCGCTTTGATGTTTTGCAAACCAATTAACATAATTATTTAAGTGTATATTAAGTAGCGAGGGAGGAGCTCCATGGTGCAGGTGTTTAGCGCGTTCAACCTGCGATCGTGGAAGTTAAGCAACTTTCGCAATGGTCGGTAATTGGATGGGTGATCAAAAACTTATTATCCTCGAGCTCCTCCGGGCTTCGGAAGGCAAGTTAAGATGTTTTTCCCGGCTGCTTCTGCAGTCGTTAGCACCCGCAAATCTGCACTGGGCCCGCGTTTTTGGCAAACGGTCCGATCATCCTACTCCATCCATGGGGAAGGTTTGTGCCTCAGCAGTTGGAACATTAGTAGGCTGATACTGATAATGAACATATTATGCAAATTACGCAAGTAGTGAATGTAGCAATCCACAAACGCGTCGCCTAAATTATACAAATTATTGACATACAAATGATAGGTGTATGTGAGCCGACAGCGAAATTATATTGACAAATAAGCAGTTTTCGATTCTAATGACGTAGCAGAGGCAATTCGCGCTCATTTTAATGTTACGCAAGCTGTATTTGATATTCACAAGACATCATTTTCGGGTCTCGCACTTAAAAGATGACAGCGACTTCTACTATATTCGACTGTCTAGTGGAAATATTCACGAATTTTTTTACAAAACATTCTGTAAAACAAACACAAAAAAACTTGGACTGGTCCAGTTTGTGGTTTCTTTTTTTTTTGCAAAGAAAAAATAGAAATAAATATTCAATTTATTATATTTATTTTAAGTATTTAACTGTAAGATGTTTTAATCTAATGAAAATTTTACTGGAAAACAACAAAAGGTATTTCGTTTCACATTATGGTTTACCTTAACTGCGAAGGTAGCGCCTACCTTGCAGGCTAAGGTAAACTAGAAGAAATATACATAGTCGTTATGGTCGCAGTAGCAGAATTGGTAAGTGCATCCGCCCGAATGGTAGAGGGTGAAGGGTTCGAATCCTGTCTGCTACCTGGTCTGCCTTAGTCTTACGGCGGGTTGTTTCCGCAACTCAACACCCAGTGCCTATTTTTCGTGGGGATTGGGCACCAGTCTTGCCATCCCAGCTCCTCCAGAAAGCTCAGCAGTCCCCGGATGTTGCTGCAAGCCTCTTGCACCGCCTCTGCACTCCAGCAAAACATAGACTACCAGGACCGCCTGCAAATATTTAAAATATTAAAATTTATGTAGAAACGCATTTTTTCATGAAGGAATAGATTTTTCTTTCAGTACCAGTGCCTACTACGGAAAAGAAATATGTTATCATAAAAAATCTCTCTTCAAGATATCCTAAATCAATATACAAGTCCAAGACGCTCCAGTGATTACAGGAATGTTGGCAATAAATATGAGAGTGTTTGTTGCGTGCGCGCGCGCAGCCGTTGTCGGCAGCCGTTTGTTCGATGAATATCATCGACTAGCTGTGTCCTGCTGTTTCACCCGTTGTTGTTGTTAATTTGTAAAATAATTATAAAGTGGGACTTTTATTTAAATCTTTTATATGGGAACATTTCCTACGTTCATTATATTTGCGTAACGAAAGCTCACAAAGGGAATAATTATTTCTGTTTCTGCAACATATTTTTTTACTTTGTAATAGGGAAGATGCATATATAATATTTATGAAAATTTTATGATTAAAATGTTAAAAAAATATAAAAGAAATGCTACTGCAACGTTTTTATTTTACATAATGTTGTTTTTTAACAATTATTACGAATTAAAAATACTTGAAACGGAACGTATTTTAAAACACCTATCAGCGTTTAGTGACGTCACTCCTGTTATGACAACTTCTTTGAGGTTATGGTTGTTAAAGTAAATATTATTTTATGGGAATATTAATTGCGTTTTTTTACATTTAATAAAAATGGAAGTTGCGTTTATCAAAGCAGACTCCAGGAATTTACCAAGAGTTAGTGTTGACATGGTTATAACTTTTTTTGTCCAAAGTGCAGAGTTTTTAAGTGTAAAAATGAAAGGGACTAAATTACTACGGTATGTAAAAATCGTAGTTGTTAAACTTCGTATTTTATTCAGCGGCTCCTACAAATCTTACGGCGATAATGCAATCGGCTGTGTCCAAATTAAAAGAGATGGAGAATTATGTACAGTAAAAGGTCGAGTTCTCCGGAGCATAAAGTACGTGAAGAAGGTTATCGTGTTACAGTTATTTTAAATGAAACGCAAAGCTTGGTTCAGTCCTGCCAATGTGAAGATTGTGCCACACATTTTAAAGTTTATCTAATTTTCGACGTCATTCTCCAACTGTAAAATTAAAAATATGTTATAGACTGGTTTTGTAAGTATTAGGTAGGTTACTAATGCGTTTCACGTACAAGCAGATTAATTAAGCATATAACAAGTATATTCGCCGACTTACGTCAAAGTGATCTTCACAGCATCGAATAATGGTCTTTGGAGAATAATTGTCATTTCTCTTTGCAGCTTGAAACCACTTTTTTTTCAGTTTTGGGTCAGAAGTTCCAGTCAAAAACAATTTATTTGGAAACTTTGTTGAAGTAGATTGGTACAAAACATGAGTCAACACGGCTTTTTTTCGGAATATTAGTGGTATTGTTATAGTCACATGATGTTGATGGATAGTCCATTTTAAATTTTTCAAAAAAATATTTCGAAAGTCGAAAAAATATGCAAAAGTATGAAAATTTAAAGCCAGCGACGAACAAGTACGACCAGTGACACAGGAGTAACGTCATCGCAACCATAGGTTCGTTTTCGCGCGAAAATTTAAATTGTCAATTTAAAACCGCATTTTTTCCGATAAATCACAATGTTTTAATTTTTTAATATAGCTGTGGTTTATTCTACATGGAATTCTTTAAAATGAAAACAAAAATAAAAATATTGCATCTTCCCTATTATTTTATATTCTAAAATATAATAATGTTTCTAAAATAAAAGTAGCCTAAGTTACTGCTTAATACATCAGCTACCTGCCAATAAAAGTCACGCCAAAATCGGTCCAGCCATTTCAGAGATTAGCCGAACAAACAGACTGACAGATAGACAGACTAAATTTGTAAAAAATGTTATTTTGGTGTATGTACCATATATATATATATTCATATGCGTGCAGTAAAAAGCAGTTATTTCAATATTACAAACAGACACTCCAATCTTATTTATATGTATAGATAAACGGACTTTGTGACAAAAAAAATTACGCATTCAACCAGACAAACAAACAAACTCTTCAGCTTTATAATATCATAAGCATTTTAATATGGTAATCGATGTTATCGATTCATCTTCCTGAATCCGTCAATGCGTTTAATTTATGCCCCAACGTGACGATGTTGTTCCATTTAATTAGAGCTATTAAACTTGATTGTTGTGTCTGATTGATTCACATTTACTGGTGGTCGGTAATGGTTACATCCTCATTTTAGGTTCCGTGTTATGTGATACTACAGCCGGCTGCATGGTTTTAAGATAGATTCTTACTGACTTAAACACTCCGATGGAGGGATGCCTAAGGCCATAAGGGCCTTTTTATACATCCTGTGACTTGTTCATATGATGTTAGTGATTGGTCTCTTTGGTGATAGGAACTTTAACTAACAATATTGACATTCCTAATTCAAATCACTTTTAGTCCCTAGGGATTAAACCGCTGTTTTGGTCCCTGGAAATAGAGAAATAACTAGCTCTTTTCGAATAGATGTGATAAAAAAAACTTACTTGCTTTTATTGGTACTTCTATCTATCTTCACGCCTTGTCCCAGATGTGGAAGGCAGAGAGTCTGACTGAACCATATCATCTCTAATGCTGATTGTATTGATTATCCACAGATGCGAACACATTTGCGTCGTGGGGCGTGGACTACGTAAAGTTGGACGGGTGCTATGCGCTCCCCGCGGACATGGATCACGGCTATCCAGAATTCGGGGTGCAGCTCAACCGCACCGGCCGACAAATGGTCTACTCCTGCAGCTGGCCCGTCTACCAGATTTACGCTGGTATACAGGTAATAAGAGAGAGATAGGGAGAGAGAACCATTTTATAAGATAGATTCTTCATAGAATAAGATAGATTCTTGAGCTTTTGATTCAAATGCATCGGCAGGCAGATGGTCTACTCCAGCAGCTGGCCCGTCTACCAGATCTACGCTGGTTTACAGGTAATGGCGTAGATTCTTGAGCTTTTGAGTCAAACGTACCGGCAGGCAGATAGATGGTCTACTCCTGCAGCTAGCCCGTCTACCAGATCTACGCTGATATACAGGTAATAAGATATATTCTTGAGCTTTTGAGTCAAACGCACCGGCAGACAGATGGTCAACTCCGGCAGCTGGCCTGTCTACCAGATCTACGCTGGTTTACAAGTAATGGCATAGATTCTTGAGCATTTGAGTCAAACGCACCGGCAGGCAGATAGATGATCTACTCCTGCAGCTGGGTCATCTACCAAATCTTCTCTGGTATACAGGTAATAAGATAGATTCTTGAGCATTTGATTCAAATGCATCGGCAGGCAAATGGTCTACTCCTGCAGCTGGCCCGTCTACCAGATCTACGCTGGTATACAGGTGATAAGATAGATTCTTGAGCTTTTGAGTCAAATGCACCGGCAGGCAGATGGTCTACTCCTGCAGCTGGCTCATCTACCAGATATACGCTGGTATACAGGTAATAGCATAGATTCTTGAGCTTTTTAGTCAAACGCACCGGCAGGCAGATAGATGGTCTACTCCTGCAGCTGGGTCATCTACCAGATCTACTCTGGTATACAGGTAATAAGACAGATTCTTGAGCATTTGATTCAAATGCATCGGCAGGCAGATGGTCTACTCCTGCATCTGGCCCGTCTACCAGATCTACTCTGGTATATAGGTAATAAGATAGATTCTTGAGCATTTGATTCAAATGCATCGGCAGGCAGATGGTCTACTCCTGTAGCTAGCCCGTCTACCAGATCTATGATGGTATACATGTAATAGCATAGATTCTTGAGCTTTTGAGTCAAACGCACCGGCAGGCAGATGGTCTACTCCTGCAGCTGGCCCGTCTAACAGATCTACGCTGGTATACAGGTAATAGCATAGATGCTTGAGCTATTGAGTCAAACGCACCGGCAGGCAGATAGATGGTCTACTCCTGCAGCTAGGTCATCTACCAGATCTACTCTGGTATACAGGTAATAAGACAGATTCTTGAGCATATGATTCAAATGCATCGGCAGGCAGATGGTCTACTCCTGCATCTGGCCCGTCTACCAGATCTACTCTGGTATATAGGTAATAAGATAGATTCTTGAGCATTTGATTCAAATGCATCGGCAGGCAGATGGTCTACTCCTGCAGCTAGCCCGTCTACCAGATCTATGATGGTATACATGTAATAGCATAGATTCTTGAGCTTTTGAGTCAAACGCACCGGCAGGCAGATGGTCTACTCCTGCAGCTGGCCCGTCTACCAGATCTGCGCTGGTATACAGGTAATAGAATAGATTCTTGAGCTTTTGAGTCAAACGCACCGGCAGGCATATGGTCTATACCTGCAGCTGGCCCGTCTACCAGATCTACGCTGGTATACAGGTAGTAACATAGATTCTTGAGGTTTTATTTTTTTGTGCGTGTCAGAAATGACGCTTTATTTGAGTAGGGCAGACTCTCTGCATGAGCACAAAGCTTAGGTTGTATTATGTTAAAAGTGTGGCAAACAAGCATGTGGCTCACCTGATGGTAAGCGGTCACTTAAAGACGCTTGCGATACCAAAAATATCACTCGCACCGTTACGTTGCTTACGCTGACCCAATCTCCAACCCTGTTGAACCCTGGAACCTTATGCACCGCCAGAAACACAACACTGGCAAAAAGTGACGACCTCCGTGGCCGAGTAGTTTGTACGCCGGGTTTCATGGTGTCGCCGACTCGAGAGGTCCCGGGTTCAAATCCCGGTGGGGGCAGATGTTTCTGTGATGAATACGAGCATTTGTACTCCAGTCATGGATGTTTAATATGTATTTCTATAAATAAAATATAGTTATATATGTACAGTATATGTATTCTATCCGTTACCCTAGTATCCCATAACACAAGCCTTATAGTGCTTCCTTTTGGGCTAGGCTAATTGGTGTGAGTGTTGGAATATTTAAAAGGTAGTGTTATTATACTGTGATATTGTTCTGTACGGTGGAGGTTATTACCCCAGACGGGTGCTCTAATTCAAGCGAAAAATCAGCTATGTCCTACCTCTCTTAAACGTACATTGTGCTACAGTAATTGTGTTGTAATAGTGTCCGACCGAAAGTTCGATTTCGGTTTCGGCCAAAAATTAAGTTTCGGCGGCAGTTTCTATTCTAATAGGTTACAACTAGAGTCCGACCGAAACTGGTTTTCCGGCCGAAACCGAATATTCGGCCGTGGCTTCAGTTTCGGCCGAAACAGAAACCGAAACTCACGTGGTCAAGATTAAAATTCCGTAAAATATGAAATTTGGTGCATTTTACTCATTATAAATCAGTTTCGGTTTCGGCCAAAATTGGCCAAAACTTTTGCCGAAACCGAAACTGATTTCGGAAGTTGTCGTGCACGCTCGCCTTACTTCGTTTCTCACACAGCAGTTCATATCCTATATTGAGAAGTGCAGTTTCCTAAATTGAGATAAAAAAGGTTGATGATTCTTCTGAGTACAAATACAAACCAAAGTATTAATTAATAAGATTTCAAAATACCAATGGGTATTTAATGAAACAGTAACAATTTGTGAATTGATTATTGATAACTGATAAAAATTTTGCATTGAGAACTTAATTTGAAAAAATAATAAAAATATTATTTATATTTTTTTATTTTATATTTGATAAATGATTACCTACAACAAAATTAATATACTGTGTTTCCATGTCATGTCCTAATTAATGCTGAATAATGGGTAAAATGCACCAAATTTCATATTTTACGGAATTTTAATCTTGACCACGTGAGTTTCGGTTTCTGTTTCGGCCGAAACTGAAGCCACGGCCGAATATTCGGTTTCGGCCGGAAAACCAGTTTCGGTCGGACTCTAGTTGTAACCTATGCTATAGGTATATTTATTACAGCATGTAAATTGGAGAAAATTTCTCCTAGTGAGAGAACTGCAACTAGTGGAATATTGTTCTTCTTTAAACCGTCTCGGTATAGGGCAGGGCTTATTTAAGGTTTAAAAAAGTGGGGAGAATCCTAGATTTCTTCATAAAATTACTCTACACACGAGACGTTAGGAGGCAATCTAGGATTCTCCTGACTTTTTCAACCTAAACCAGCCGCAGTGTCGTGAGCAGACCGTAGACGACTTAACAAAGACTGTAAAAAAAGTTGAAAATTATCATTATTGAATGTTAAAATCTATTCCAGCCTAACTTCAGCTCGATCATCGAGCACTGCAACCTGTGGCGCAACTTCGACGACATCCAAGACTCGTGGGCCTCCGTCGAGTCTATCATAGACTACTACGGAAACCACCAGGACATGATCGTCCCCAACGCAGGCCCAGGGCACTGGAATGATCCCGACATGGTAACGGAATAAACTTTGTAAATAACACCTCTTATGTATGATGCTCACGCTTTTTGTAAACCCTTGTCTTCTTTCCCTATATATTAACTCCCTCTCCTCTGTTTGTTACTCTTGCTTCCGATCAAATTTTCTCTCATTCGTCCTCTAATCATTAAATTGGAATTATTTTTATGGAAGAAAAGTTCTTTCCGGTCCCTATTTTTTTAAAGGGTTAACAAACATACCACAAACCAAAATGATCATTAACCTATTACTATAAATGTCCCACTGCTACGGAATAGGCTTAATGCAATTGAGAAAACTGATAACGATGACCTGTTGGTGACGGAGTCTTGGATGCTAACGACGGCAGATGCTGCTCGAAGTAACACCAAATCTTGGCCTTTGAATCAAAAGATTTAGCTCATTGCAGCACGAAAGAACTACAGATTTTGTTTTATACAACTCTTGAATAGTGCAACATTTTTGATTTACCACTGTTTCAAGACTTCTTTTGGCTCTAAAGAAATCTTTTATCGAAATACTTTTAGCTTTAAGAAAGCTCGTAATATACTTAATAAATTTATATTACATTCTACGAGCTCCCATAATTTGCTCCATCTTATCCACATGATGTTAAGTCTGAGTATCTATTTAGTCATAACTATACTTGTGTAGATTGTTGATAAAGTAGAAAAACGCAGCGCTCCAGCCATCCACACCTTATGACCTTACCGGTCTGACTGAACCCAAATCCCCTTACCTATTAGGCTTGAAATATCAAGTTGTGCTTTTGGATACAGTCTTATTTTTGTATTTATTACAGAACATCGTTCATAGTAAAGAGAAAATTCATGAAGTCACCTTCTAATGGAAGGTGACTTCATGAATTATCCTTTAATGAAGTATCAACTTGACAACTCTGTATGCGAGGGGATGTCCAAAAAATCGTGGAATGAAGGGGAAGACGGCTGAAATTAAACATGAAATTATTTTTCCATTTCAATATATTCTCCCTTAAACCCAATACATTATTTAGTTCTTTTAAATAACTTATTTATATCTTCAAAAAAATGTAATTGTCAAGTCCCTGAAAATAGGCAGAAATTGCAGAATTACTCAGAATCTGGTGGTTTAGCCTGCTTAGGGGTTGATTTCTACCCCTAAAAAATAAATCCCACAGTGCTACAAGAAAGCAGACATAATTACGAGTATTTAAAATACAGTATATCATTTGGATTAGATTTACTGCCTCGCGCGTAGTTTTAATCGTTTCCACCTAGTGTGCGCCGTAAATAGATTTGCAAACTGATGGCGTATAAAGTTTCTAGACATTCATGAGTGCTAATAGCAGCATAAACTGACGCCTAACTTTGACGACCTCCGTGGCCGAGTGGTTTATACGCCGGGTTTCATGGCTGTCGCTGATTCGAGAGGTCCCGGGTTCGAATCCCGGTGCGGGGGGGGGGGGGGGGCAGATGTTTGTGTGATGAATACGAGCATTTGTACTCCAGTCATGGATGTGTAATATGTATTTATATAAATACATATTACACATCCATATATATGTATTCTATCCGTTACCCTAGCATCCCATAACACAAGCCTTACAGTGCTTACTTTGGGGCTAGGCTAATTGGTGTGTGTAAAACAAAAAAAAAACTGAACAAACATTTATTTTTTGATTTTTTGATTTTGACAGTTGATCATCGGCAACTTCGGTTTGTCGTACGAGCAGAGTAAGACCCAGTTCGCGATCTGGGCGATCCTCGCGGCGCCCTTACTCATGAGCGTGGACCTGCGCACCATCCGGCCCGAGTACAAGGCCATCCTGCAGAACAGGAAGATCATCGACGTGGACCAGGACCCGCTGGGCATACAGGGCAGGAGGATATATAAGGTGACCTATATTAATGTGCAACTCCTTTTTCCTTGAATTTCCTACGGGAGTGATTTTGGAATTGTAGCGTATAAGTCTGTCTCATCACATGGCCAATTCTTTCTTTCGGATCAGCAAGTTTCCGTTTACTGTGAACAAATAAAAGTATGAGGTCTTATTGTGAACTTAATAAGACCTCAGTAAACGCAAAACTTGAAAATCCGCAAAAGTGACATTTAAATACACTTACAAATTTTACACTTACTCATATGACCTATCTCTTCTTTGCATTCTATGTAGATTATCAATGGTTTGATAGAGCATAATCAGGATATACTATTGCCAAATTTTATTTTAAGTTTGAAGAATCAAGCCAGAAACAGGCAATCTATATCCTTTCGATGCCAAATGAAGAATTCGTTAAGTTGTTGTTGAATAAACAATAGCCATGTCAAGGTCTGGCATGACACGAATCCGGGGAAGCACCAAAATTTAATTTGACTAATGAGTGCGTGCGATGGTCGCTTCATAATCATTTATCAGGATGTTTAGTAAATGTTGCTGGTTCCTATAAAAATAAGGAATGGAATAAGAGTTTTCTGTCCAACTGTATTAGAGAAACATTAGATGACTAAAGGGAACAAAGAAAAGTGTTGAGTTTCCTCTACACCTTTCGAGATGATGATGTTAAATGATAGTTTGGTGATAAATTGATAACACCGATTAAGTTGAAACTGTTATTTTTATTAGCACACGCGGACATATGACGTCCGAACGTGAACTGATTTGCTTACGCTAATACAATTACATATTTACTTAATAATACATAAAATTATAAATTGCCACGTAAGGAAATGTTTTGTTTGGACTAAAGAAAAAGTATTCATTATACCTTATTATTATTATGTATATCTGGATATGTATGGGTTAGACTTGCAACGAATAGTATATTCGGCAGTATACCGAATACCGAATATTCGGCGAGGCCCCTGACCGAATAGCCAAATATTAGGCAAAAGTATTCAGCTGGATTTTAGCGCCAAAAACTTGTACAGACGTGATTGTTTCGCGCTCCTTTGTTTTGTTCTAATCTGCCGTCCTCAAGCTAAAATGCGGCTAAATGACAATACCAACTTTTGAGATATGGCCAAAAACGGCGCGTTGACTTTAAACTATTGCCATTATATAACCATTCATCACATGACTGAATGAATTAAAAACTGTTGACTTGTTTAATACAGAAAATAATTAAATTATGTTGTACATAATTTTCTGTATTGTACCAATGACTACTTAATAAATGATTATAAAAGAAATGAGAACCTTACCCTTCTAAATTTTGATTACCACAATAATTCAAATACATAGAATCCTCCATTTTTCCAATTCAGAAGATGATTATGTACCTGTGTTATGTACCAATGACTATTTAAATGATTATATAACAGAAATGAAAATATGAATATAAACGTAATCAATCGATTTTAATTTTTCATTTTACCAATTATTTCTCTATGACAAAATATATTAATTCGGTATTCGGCCGAATATAATAAAAGCAGCCGAATAGGCCGAATATCGAATAGTAACGGAATATTCGTTGCAAGTCTAGTATGGGTGTGTGTATAAGTATAAATACTACATTTTATTTAAGAGATTTATACCTACTACTTTTATAAGATGACATGACGATGGCAATAAAGAAGATAAAAAGTGGATGGTCGCTTGTTAAGGGCAGTAGTACCAATAATAAGACACCTATTGTTAATTTAGTTAAGGAAAACCTGACATTGGCATTGACCATACTTGAAATGTATCTGCTGTAAAAACGCTGTTGGTTTTCAAAAAAACTAAATAAATAAATATTTCCAATTAGCCTAGCCCCAAACTAAGCACTATAAGTCTTGTGTTATGGGATACTAGGGTAACGGATAGAATACATATACTGTACATTATATGAGTATATTTATATAGAAATACATATTAAACATCCATGACTGGAGTACAAATGCTCGTATTTATCACACAAACATTTGCCCCCACCAAGATTCGAACCCGGGACCTCTCGAGTCGGCGACACCATGAAACCCGGCGTACAAACCACTCGGCCAAGGAGGTCGTCAACAAACTGTAAAGTAGAGCATGGGCAGATAATGTGAGACGAAGGTTCAAAAGTTCGATAGCTCATTGGTTTTGTCTTTGCATAGGCTGTTTAATTTTTTTCTCTCGTCGACTCCATTGTCTGGTTCTATTTGTTTATTGTATTGATTAATTATATCGTCTACAGCACCGCGGTATCGAGATTTGGTCGCGTCCCATTCTCCCTATCCAGGGGCAGCACTACTCGTATGCGGTCGCCTTCGTAAACCGGCGCACGGACGGCACGCCCTCCGACGTGGCTGTTACGTTGCGAGAACTCGGACTATCTAACCCCGCCGGGTATAGAGTCGAGGTACGGATTGTTTACAACACTGTAGGTTACTATAACGTACGGTAATATAAAGTACGGTACTATAATGTACGGTAATATACCATACGTTACTATAATGTACGGTAATATACTGTACGTTACTTTAATGAACGGTAATATACTGTACGCTATTATAATGTACGGTAATATACTGTACGTTACTATAATGTACGGTATTTTCCATACGTTACTATAATGTACGGTATTATACTGTACGGTACTATAATGTGCAAACGGCACGCCTTCCGACGTCCGTCTAACCCTACCGGGAATAATAATAATAGTAATGATTTATTTCAGATCTAGATCCATAGAAATGTTAGTAACAATCAAATTTTAAAAACTATGTTAGTACATTTTGGAGCACAAAGTTATTTCATATATATACCCTCTGAGGCACCGGTCACATGAACGTGTATATGTACCAAGTGCCTCAGAATGGCACACTCCGGTTTTTTCCCGATAAGAAGGTAGAGGTCGTAGACGAGAGATTAGAGCAATACTCGTGTGCGGCGGATTTCGTGAAACAGCGCGCGGACGGCACGCCCTCTGACATAGCTGTTCATCGTCATCATCATCAGCCTTTTGATGTTCCCACTGCTGGGGCTCGGGCCTTCCTATGGATGGAATAGGGAGATTAGGCCATGACCCACCACGCGAATAGGCGGGTGCTAACGACTGCAGATGCAGCCGGGACCAACGGCTTAACGTGCCTTCCGAAAGACGGAGGAATTCGAGATAGAAGATTTTTGATTATCCTTCGACGTGACCGTCACTCTACGAGAACTCGGGATATACGGCTGTCCAACCTCGCCCGGTATGGAGTCGAGGTACGGACTGTTTACTGTAATGATATTGTACGGTACTATTATGTACGGTACTATGCTGTACAGTTTTCTCCTGCACGGTCGGCACGTTCAACCGATAAGCTGCGGGAGCTTGGACGAGGTAACCACTACTAACTTACTATACTATTTTACTATAAACTTTATTGTTTACTAGTATAAAGTACTGGGCTAAAACTGCTGTTCCAGCTATGTTCACGTTTTGACTGCACCGCCATTTAATTTCTGTCTCATGATAGGACCGAACCATTAAAATAATAACCAAGAAAACTTACAGATGTGTGTTAAATGTTGTTAATATTTTTTTTTGTTTATTTCAGGATTTATACGAAGATGTGGACTACGGTGTGCTCTCCCCGCAAACCAAGATCAAAGTCAAAGTGAATCCCTCAGGTAGAAAGTGTCACACTAATTATTTTATAAGATGGGCTTCGGTTTAATGCTTCGTTAGAATCGGAACTAATGGGAAAGTAGATGTTGTGAAATGGAACCGTCGCTTTAAGATTTGCATCGACAGAAAATTTTAAATATTCATAACACCTTTCTGCTGAGGCGGCGCGTAAGGCGTGGGTGACGTGGGCCACCGCCTACGGCCTCGCGGTACAAGGGGCCTCGCGCCTCATAAATTCGCTTTTAAGCAATGCATAAACATTGCTTAAAAGCGAATTTCTTTTTTTTATTATTTTATAAAATCCGTCTTCAGGTCGCCACAGAACAGGGCCTCGCGAAATCTATCTTGCCCACATCAAATTTAGGTCTTGCCCCGCCACTGACTTTCTGTTTAATACAATATCATGTCATGTCATAGAAATTAATATAATATAAATATTTCCTACTACTATATACTGTTTTCTTATACAACACCCGAGACCAACACATACAAATCGCCAAACACACCACATCTATCAATCACGCCCAACACGTCTCATACACCGGACACACCACAGCCATCAAACACACAACGGATCAGAGAAAGAGGGCGAGGAAGGAGAAGAGTAGCAACTCGCCCACAATATACTACAGATGCACACTAGTTAGAAAGAAAGAAAGAAAGAAAAACATTTATTGACGACATACGTTAACAATTACAATAAATACACAACAAACATAAAACAAAAGGTACATCGTCAACTAGGTCCCACCTCAGCATAATGTTGCAACGGCAAAAAATAGATTGCTGCTGCAACACTGATATTCTGGAGGGACCTAATTTGGACATCGACGGACAGAAATACAAGACAATCACTTAATACACAAAACAAAAACAAAAAAACAAAGTTAGGTGCTTCTCATAATCATATATATGTTACGGTTTATTATATATATAATACATCAAACTAAACTACATAATAATAGATAATAAAAGGCATATTGGGAACATAGATACCTCTTTTCTTGTGGGTTACACGGACGGGGTATTTATTAAAACCGACAAAATGTCGAGATGGTGAACTCAACCAATCATTATATTTCCTACACCCCAATAGGGTATTTGACAGTATTAAAAATAAAGTGTCAATTGTTAGCATCTGTGTTTAGAATGAATATTGGCAGGGGTTTTTACTATTTTTACAAAAAAATATTCATAATTTTACTAAAAACCCACGAAAAAGATAATAGTTTTCTTATCTATTGCCACGTGACCCAAAACGCCTGGGATTGGCGGAGCCTAAAATAACGTCACACGCAAGTAAACTTCCGGTTAAAGTGACATTACGTTGTATCGTTTGACGTTTCGTTTTAATAACAGTCGTGTGACGTCACACACTAGTAAGACGCCATATTGTCCACTGAAACGTTTTCGCGGCAACTTGTAAATGGAGTTTTTGATTTGGTTATCTTTACTGAAATACACAACAGAATGATGAATATCCAATTTTTACGGACTCCATAAACATTATTCAATAACGTGAGGTCGTTTTCTAAAACTTGTCAAATACCCTATTAGCCTAGTTCCAAAGTAAGCACACGGACCTAAAAAAAAGACGGACGTAACATCAAAGGCAAATCATGTGAAGCATGCAAGGTCAGACAAAATCGTTTGTTGTACACTACCTGCACTCACACTAATGCACCAGGTCGGACAAACCGCTGCCATTTGACCCCGCGTGACAGCGGCAGTCACACATTCAATTGCTCTGATAAAAATAATTAAAAATGCCGTCTTGTGTAGTGAAATCCTCTAAAAACTACACGAATAAATTTAAAAAGTCACAAAGAATCACCTACCATGCGTAAGTATTGCCAATTCTTGATATTTCTTCCATATTATATTTTATTTACTGGGATGAAAATTGTAAACAAAAATACAACTGTATGGCTACTTTATTTACGGGATTTTTTCCCTAAAAGTAGGGAATTTTGTATTTCTTGCATTTGTGACTCGGTAAGGTCAGATTTCGTAACATTTTAGGGTTCCGTGTCCCAAAATGAAAAGAATAGAAGCCATATTATTCATAGAATATTTTATATGTTTTATAAAATGGTATGTTCTCGCTGTGAATTCTTTGTTGTTTATATATATGTAAATATGTAGCAAACTTTTTTGTGTTTAGCAACTGATTGTAACAAATTATTTCTTTGTGTTGTTTTATTGTTTGGTTTTAGTTTTGGTTTTTGTAAGTTCCAATTTGTCATAGATTAATCTAACTTCATTTTTATTTTATTTTTTAATAAATTCATTTCTCTTGTTTTAAGGCTGAAGATACTAAAAGCATTCGGCCTATGTTGTTATTTTTTTATTGGCTTGTTGATTGGTATGGTTCTAACCTTGTTTTATAATTAAATTAAAAATGTCTCGTCAACCCTACCAGAATTATCAGCGCTGCAGCAGCCCTGGTGTTGCTGTAGTATTAAGCTGAGGCAGGGACCTAGTTGGCCTGTCTTTCTGTGTTCTGTTTTTGTATATGTGTTTCAAATTATTGTATTGCCTCCTTTCTAATAGGATTCCTAGAAATAGAAAACGTAGAAATGACTGGGTTTTAATTATTCGATACTGCAGAGGGGATAACAATTAGAACCCCTGCACTATGCACATTTTGATGATTTAGATTTTAAAAATACAGCTAAGGGCCTACGTTGTTTGGTTCCGTACGCCATTCCAAAAAGGGTAAGATTGAGATACTGTTTTGTACTATATGTTTATAATTTATTGTTCTTTGGCGGCTTTCAGTCTTATTTATCTTATTACTTGCAGTTATTTTCAAACTCTCCAGAAACACAAACACAAAGCACTTCTCCACATATACCGCAGGTATTGAGATTTTATGAACAAGATACTTAACTATTGAATTTTAATGCAAAATTTAATATCGTTATTTACGTTTTTTAAGATATCGACAAATATTAGAGGAAAAGAAAACAATCAACAGCCGAAATTTCTTTATACGTAGCAAGTGTTTTCATTTTTCTAACGGTCGTCATAAAAATGATGTTTGATAGGCCCACATTATGTTTCTAAAGTGCACCCGTTTAAATTGCTGAAATATAGTGAGCTTACATCTAATAAAAACATGGTAAATATCCCGTTATTGTAATAAATACATATTACAATAACGGGATTACCTACATAGTGTTAACAATATTTTAGTTTGAGACATTAAAAAATAGGGAAATTGATGACTTATATGACAACCCTCAAATCACGCACACACGGTAAACGGGCGGCCATTTGCATGCTTCACTCGTGATTAGACGAGGTTACGTCCGTCTTTTTTTTAGGTCCGTGAGTAAGCACTGTAAGGCTTGTGTTATTGGATACTGGGGTAAGGCATAGAATACATAGTAGAATCCGTTTATTATGACATCGAAGGGAATTAACAAACACGTCATACTAAGCGAACGTCATACTATGCAGTTTTGTGAAAAAAGACAACCTTCTGTTTTTTAAGTAAATACTTATGTATTTTAATAGAAAAACAGCATATTCAATCAAAATAAAAATTTCACATTATACATGTATTGTATGTATGTATATTATTATTTTTTTACTTAAGGAATCTGTCATTTTTGTCTACTTTTGTTTTTTTCATTTTATTGTAATAACAGACACTAATACTATTGTGTATAAAAGACATTGCCATGGTTAAATTATCATTTTCAATATTGCTATGAACTAATCGCGATAATAATGCTGCAGCCTTTAATGCCTCTTCTGCGGGAGGTAATTGTTCTTCCTCGACTTCCTTTTCCCCATCACTTTCGAGTTGTTCCAAAAATGCTTTACAACGTTGAGATGTCTTTTTTTACATAGGATATCACTAAAACCAACTGTAATAAATCACTGACATTCAAAACAAAAACGAGCCACGTGCCGAACGTCTCGTCGGGATCAACGAACATTACCGAAAGTGTAAAAGTGTAAAGAATCATGTCGGTCACTATAAACGGACAAAATTGATTAAAAATGGGTTATAATAAGCGACATGTCACTGTAAGCGAAGTCATTATATCCGACTTTATTTCAATGAATTTTATATGAAAACCAAACTTCTTTGTGTAATTACGTCATAATAGGCGGTTGGTCAATATAGGCGGAGTCATAATAAACAGATTCTACTGTAACACTGATACAAATAACAGTATTTCTTTTTATTCAGATATCTATATTAATAAATATAGCGGTCGCAGGCTGTGATGTTTTGTACTTATTGGTAGCAGGCAAGTGTGAGAGTCCATTTAATTTGTAGTTTGTTTATCGTCTGCTTAACATGTTTTGCTATCTCCACTTTATTCATGGAGTTGCCGAATTTACGTAAACGATGTGATCACATTTCCTTTAATGTGACAAACGCCATTGTTTAGATAATTTTTGACCAAAAGTGGAGTTAGCAAAATTTCTTGTTAGGCAGTTAAGTTATGTATTACTTATAATTCAAACACCATATTTCTTTATTGTGTAAATATTGATTTTGGTTTGCTTACGCTTGTGAGGTTGTCTCTATTTTATAAGAATAAACAGAAAACCTAATGTTATTTTAAAAAGACGCCTGAAACATTGTTAGATATTACTGGTATATATTTATATACATATATTATTATAAAACGGCATTTAGCACATTCTAATTTACTTTCGCAAATAACCTATAAAGCGACATGGTTAGTCACTTTGCTCGCAGACGAGAAAAAATAATTATACTCTCTAAACTTAATATGTTATTCTTAATTATGATAATGTATAAACATATTAGTAAAATGTCAACTAAATAGTGGTTTAGATAACAAAAATTACTAATAAATTATAGCCAAGTTTATTATTAAATTAAAAAATCATTACGAGTTTTACAGTAATACACGTGCGGTTTCGCAAAATGTGATATTATTTAGCAGAATGCGGATAGCGGAAGTGTGAATGACGTTCGGTTCCCGCCGCCGAACGGTTGATTTTTGCGTTCGTTTTTACCGAAATTAGTTTTTAATAACGCCAAGTTTATTAAATTAAAAAATCATTACGAGATTTAATGTAATACACGTGCGGTTTCGCAAAATGTGATATTAATTAACTGAATTGAATTGCGGACGGTGTGTATGACGTACGGTTCCCGCCTCCGAGCAGTTGATTTTTGTGTTTTTTTTTTACCGAAATTAGTTTTTAATAACGCCAAGTTTATTAAATTAAAAAATCATTACGAGATTAACAGTAATACACATGCGGTTTCGCGAAATGTGATATTAATTAACTGAATGCGGATTGCGGACGGTATGAATGACGTTCGGTTCCCGCCTCCGAGCGGTTGATTTTTGCGTTTTTTTTACCGAAATTAGTTTTTAATAACGCCAAGTTTATTAAATTAAAAAAATATTACGAGATTTACTGTCGTACACGTGCGGTTTTGCAAAATGTGATATTAATTAACTGAATTGAATTGCGGACGGTGTGAATGACGTTCGGTTCCCGCCTCCGAGTGGTTGATTTTTGCGTGTTTTTTTACCGAAATTAGTTTTTAATAACGCCAAGTTTATTAAATTAAAAAATCATTACGAGATTTACAGTCATACACGTGCGGTTTTGCAAAATGTGATATTAATTTACTGAATTGAATTGCGGACGGTGTGTATGACGTTCCCGCCTCCGAGTGATTGATTTTTGCTTTTTTTTTTTATCGTAATTAGTTATAAGATGAGCTCGATGGCGCAGGTGGCTAGCGCGTTCGGCTGCGATCGTTGAAGTTAAGCAACTTTCGCAACGGTCGGTCATTGAATGGGTGACCAAAAATCTTTTATCTCGAGTTCCTCCGTGCTTCGGAAGGCACGGTAAGCCGTTGGTCCCGGCTGCATCTGCAGTCAATCACCCACCAATCCGCACTGGGCCCGCGTGGTGGGTATGGCCCAGTCTTCCTATTCCATCCATAGGGAAGGCCTGTGCCCCAGCATGGGGGACATTAATAACCTGATGATGATGATGATGAGTTAACTTATTTTTTTAAGTTCGATCTAATATAGGATTATTCTTGAGACACTGATGAAAACGGTCAAAATTTGCCTACTGCTAGGATATCTGGCGAGTAGTTAGTAGGCTCAAAATAGAGAAATGATGTCTTATTAAAACCTCTCTCAATCATAAGCCTAGCCCCGAAGTAAACATTGTAGGCTTGTGTTCTAGGATACTCGGGTAACGGATAGAATACATATATTAGTATATTTATTTATAAAGAAATACATATTAAACATCCATGACTTGATTACAAATGCTCGTATTCATCACTCAAACATCCGCCCGGATCGGGATTCGAACCGAACCCGGGACCTCTCGAGTCGGCGCCACCTTGAAACCCGGCGTACAAACCACTCAGCCACGGAGGTCGTCATCATTAGCGCTATCTGCCTATGCTGTCTGAAATATCTACCTACTTGCTAATACACGAAATGCGATTAAAAATAAAACAGTTTTTTCTTTTTTTCATCAGGCGTAGTAATACTACGTGCAGACGCGCAGCCAGCGTATGCGTACAACGCGATACCAACGCGGACACCGTACACGCCATTGAACGACGTCTTCAGACATACGAAGAAGTAACATCAACGCCATCTGTGTTTTATACCCCCGCAACTTTTCAAATAAAAACCACCCAACCTTTTTTTTCTTGAAATTGAATCCCGCTGCACGTTTTCCCAGTCAATCCTTTTAGGATCTAACAAGTGCAATTATTGTTGATTTTAAATATTACTTACGTAAATGATCTTTTACTCTTTAACTCACAATGAAATTGGTGTGATTTATAGTTACCAAGGTTTACCAATTGACGCGTTTCATGCCTTGCCGTTAGTTTAATTTTTATTATTTATGATTTGTGTACCTATCTAGTGTGGTCAGGAGTACCATCCCGGTAAAAGGCAAAGAAATTCTTGATGGTGTAACTGTGATAATGAAAAACAGATAAATATTATTATAACGATGCTGTACATAAAGATCATAAAAACCATGAGTTTGTATATTGTTTTAAACTTTTATGGTCACTAGCATTAAGTTATTTACGGGATTGTTACCATGTACCTTGTTTTTAGCGAGTTTCCGATATTTCGGCACTGTTGCAAGCGTCATGATCATAGAGTAACTGGAAACTCTCTAAAAACAAGGTACATGGTAACAATTCCGTAAATAACTTATATTACTATAACAGAGTTTGTAGTTTGAAAGAAAATATGGAATTAATAAGTTTATCTGATGGACTAAAATATTACACAGACCAATCTGTGACATAACTACGTGTGGGTTCGTACTACAAATGATATGAATTCATAGTTTTAAACTTTCATGGTCACTAACATTATAGATATTAATGGGATTGTTACCATGTACCTTGTTTTTTTGTGCCGGGAACAAATGCGAGTGAATTGTGAGAATGTGACCAGTGGTAGGGGTATCGAATGCAGTAAAAGACGACGTCAGAGGGTAGACCGATATGTCTGCCAATAACATCTACCCGCAATTACTTCAGTTACTCCGTGATCATGGCGCTTGCAACAGTGCCGAAATATCGGAGACTCATAAAAAACAAGGTACATGGTAACAATCCCGTTAATATTTAACATGCATTCATAGTAATTTGGGCACAGAGCAATGTAGTCATGAGATTTGCGGACCCATGAAGCATTATCGTTTTTATTTTATTAAATAGTTAACATTGGGTAACAAAGCTTTCAATTAGTAGGTACAAGAAGACATTACCGGGGTTGTACTCCTGATGTTTTAAATGTTACAAAAATGTGGAGAATCGATTTTGCCATTGCGTTGTACCTAGGATAAGTGTGTACATTTTAGGTGCCTGTTAATGTAAGTTTTTTTTGTAGAATACCTAATTAATTGATTAATTAAATGTGTATATTAATTCTGTTTTCGATTTTTTATTTGCTCTTTTTATTAATAACAAGCGGACATTGATTGATTGAGTAGATATTTATATTACGTAAATTCAAGAAAATTTTATTTAAATTGTATATTAGATTATTATAAATTCTATTCAAGAACACCAAGTATTGCGATACCCTGACAGGGTGGTTCATGTAACGTACTTTATAACATGTATTTAACCATCTCTAGTATATAACTACATGAATGCAATAAATGATTTGATTGATTGACCCAACAGACGCACTTTTATGGAACAGGCATCTTCTAGGTAGGCGTGTACCATCCTAGGCCTCATCATCGCTTTCCATCATGCGAGATTGTGGTCAAACGCATTGCCTATTAAGCATAAAAAAACGGGGGTCCTAGTTGTCACCACTGGCTTCGTTACCACTGGTGACAGAAGTGATAAATTAAAGTTTTTCATCACTTTAAGTTGGTATAGTATTGTGTGTCATTATTTATTTATTTATTTCTAATTGTTTTTTAGGTTTTTACGCATGTTACGAGTACAAGACTCGTCTACGTCACTCATACGTCACGCGTACATTATGTGTTTCGCAAGTGCAGGTGGCTCGATTGAGCAATCGTGTTGAAAAGTGCTTATTAGACAGATTTAGTTAATGTAAAACCTTCGGACAGTTTTGGGAGTTGCTTGAGCTTCAATCGTGGAAGCATCTTGACGTATAGTTTGTAAGACCGGATCATCGGGATCAATTAGTATAAGTAATTTTGTATAACATTTAAATAAATAAAGTAATAATTAAAAGTTTAGTTTTTAAAAACCCTAGCTGACGGCTCAATTCCGTAATTGGCGCAGTCGGTAGGATAGTCGAGTCAGTGCGAGCATCATACTTCGATCCGCCTGATAGTCGTGTCGTCGGCGTGTCGACTATCTCTACGAATCTACGCGAAGCAGTCGTCAGACGGGAAAGAAGAATCAACTTCGAAAACCGGCGCTAATGCAAAAATCGATGGCCCATCACCACACTAAGCTAAGCATCCTGCTCCTGTGAGTTTTATTATATAAGTTACGTATTCCTATTGGTTGCCAGCGGCCCCTTTCCTGTCTCCCGTAGGACGTAATAAGTAAATTAAATAAGTTTGTTTTAATAGTTAGACAGATTTCTAGATATTCCTATTGGTTGACAGCGGCCCCTTTCCTGTCTTCCGTAGGACTTAATAAGTAAATTTTTTTTTTTTTATAGTTAGAAAGATTGCTAGATATTCCTATTGGCTGACAGCGGCCTCTTTCCTGTCTCCCGTAGGACTTAATAAGTAAATTAATTAAGTTTTCTTTTAATAGTTTAGAAAGTTTTCAAGATTTTTTTTCCAAAGAAAAGTAGAGATATAGGACCGAATCTGCGGCGCAGTATTCGTCCTAATTCTAGAGAATTAAGGTTTCATCGCGAAATCGAATTATCTACATTAGAAAGCATAGAAGAAGAAATGGCGACCGAACAACAATCTGTAGCTTATTCAAACGATATGACAGATAGGATTTGGAAATCTTTAAGGCTAGTTCCTGCGTTTAATGGAAATTCGAACATTTTAATTAGATTTTTGAACATTTGCGACCAACTGATTTTAACATATGTTAATCCAGCTCCGGGAAATGAACTAAATAATTACGCTTTAATTAATGGAATTTTAAATAAAATAACCGGACCTGCTGCTAAAACATTAGCAACAAATGGCATCCCCCAAGACTGGAATGGCATAAGAAATGCGCTAATTAACAGCTTTTCGGATCACAGAGACGAGTCCGCCCTATACACCGATTTATCTATGTTAACTCAAGGTTCCGATACACCGCAAATATTTTACGAGCGAGTTCAAAATTTACTTAGTATAATTATGACTTATGTAGAATTACACGAACAAATTAAAACAACAGTTGAGGCTAAACGTGAACTTTACAAAAAAAATAGCTCTTCAAACATATACCAGAGGCCTAGCCGAGCCTTTAGGCTCACGTGTCAGGTGCATGCGCCCCGACTCGCTAGAAAAGACCTTGGATTTCGCCCAGGAAGAATTAAACCTCTTATACTTACAATCGAAAGCCAGTAACCCGCTAATTTCTAAGAAATCGATAAAGAATGCCCCGTTTAATTACTCACCTTTGAATTCGCATGACTCACTTATGCCTTCGAGACAATTCAATTCTGGAATGCTTACACATCAATTTAAACCTTTTAAATACCATTTCATGCAACAAGCCACTTTCCGTAATAATTTGTACCGAAAAATATGAGACCTTTCGGATAGTTTTAATAAGCATATTAGTTTATATAAAGAAATGACCATCCAACAAACTCAAATTTTAAATAATATCTCTTCAAATCAAAGAAAATTAGAAAAAGCAATAATTTCAATAAGTAATACATCTGTAACTGAAAAAGAACAGATGTATCAATTTACACAGATTTCCCAATTATTTAGCATACTTACGGAAAATATTCTGGAACTCTCATCTGAAATAAGTAGATTAGGTAATATTTTAGCTTTTAGTCGCACAAACGTAATGCACCATTCTATACTATATATAAGTGATTTAAAAAAATATGTTAACACAGCTTAAAAATCTATATAATCCCAATGCGTTACTAAACTTAGATGTTAGGTTTTATTACGATCTAATTACCTTAGGATCATATTTTATTGATAAGAAAATTGTAATTGTCTTGAAGTTTCCTATAATGTCTCTAGAAACATATGACCTTTATAGACTCTGTCCTGTTCCTAATAAAAACTCAGAAATTATCCTTCCACCATTCCCATACATGGCATCCAATTCCCAGGAATTTGCGTACATGGAGGCTGAATGCCCGAAGATCGACACCTGGTACATATGCAAGCAGCAGCTTAACCATCAAACCCGAACACGCAGTGACTGCGTCTTCAATCTCATTTATCATCAGAACACAGGAGAGTGCCATCCTACATCCATATCACTCCTGAAGGAAGCACTACTAGAATTGGATAGTCAACATTATATTTTATCATTACCTAACAAAATCAAAGTAAAAATATCATGCGGACAAGAAAAATATCATCTGTTAAAAGGAAGCTACTTCGCAACGATTCCCCGAAATTGCAGCATTCACACACCAGAATTCACAATTGTTAATACTGATGACAAATTTCGTGGGCAACCTGTTGAAATAATGACATTCCCACACTCGACTCCGATGTCAGCAAATTCGAAGAAAAACTTACCACATTATAATTTCACAACAATTGATTTGAACAAATTACACAATATTCAACATCAATTACTCATGGACCCACCTGTTAGAATTAACACCGTGGATTTATCCAGCTTATATCACACCACGATACCTACATACGTCATCATACTGTTAAGTGCACTTGCACTCATTAGTGTGGCTTACTACCTGAGACGGCGTAAGATCCAACAGTGAGTTAAATCTACACAGCCTCAAGAGATGGAAATGGCATCAGCGGGTTCTACACCATCCATCGAAGAAAGAAAAGCCGCAACATTTGCTCTCAATCTTCGCAAATAGTTGCTCATCTAGGAGGGAAGGTGTTACGAGTACAAGACTCGTCTACGTCACTCATACGTCACGCGTACATTATGTGTTTCCCAAGTGCAGGTGGCTCGATTGAGCAATCGTGTTGAAAAGTGCTTATTAGACAGATTTAGTTAATGTAAAACCTTCGGACAGTTTTGGGAGTTGCTTGAGGTTCAATCGTGGAAGCATCTTGACGTATAGTTTGTAAGACCGGATCAACGGGATCAATTAGTATAAGTAAATTTGTATAACATTTAAATAAATAAAGTAATAATTTAAAGTTTAGTTTTTAAAAACCCTACCTGACGGCTCAATTCCGTAATTCGCACATCACTCATTAAATAAAACTAGTTTTTACGGGTTAATGCACGAAGCTTTATTTATTTTCATCCCACCACCTCGGAAAGTGTAATTTTGCGCTTCGAAATCTGGCTGGAAAATTCTATTTTATTCGCTTGAGCGGCAAAGTAGATTTGAATTTAGAACATCACATATAATGAGTACTCAATATAATTGTAAATTCAAAACGTCATTAAACCTATTTAATGTAACCTCTATGGTGCCAAATTTATGATTAGAACTTTTTAAATTGTGAAAAAATTTAAATTTGGAACCTTCTTGGTTTCTTTGTTTTATTTGCGTGCTTCGCGCCATTCTAGTTTTTCACGTTTTATTGCTTAATATAATTAACATAACCTAAAAACTGTACAAAAAAATCAACTAAAATGAGTGACATTAGCGACGATGAAGTTTATCTAACGCCAACTGAGTTAACTGAAACAGTTAATAATGCGCAAATGAGCCTTCTCCCTCAGCAATCACGAGAGAAGTATTTGAAACAGTACGATATATTTAACATGTGGCGACTAGCTAAAGGAGCAAAAACTTTCTCCGAAAACGTTTTGCTGGCATATTTTATAGAATTATCTGAGACCAAGAAAGCAAGCACGCTATGGAGTACGTATTCAATGCTAAAATTAACAATTAAGATGAAGAAAGACGTTCATATCGACACCTATCATAAATTAGTGGCATTTTTAAAAAGAGCCTCATCTGGTTATAAACCAAAAAAATCGAAGGTTTTCACAGCATCTGAAATTGCAAAGTTTATTAATGAAGCACCTGATTCCGTATATTTAGCGGCAAAAGTAAGTCAATACGTGTAATTTTTTGTTGTTGATAAAATTGTACATAGTACTTACAATATTTTTAATTTGATTAATTTATTTACGATTATAAATACTTCTTTTGTTACAGGTTGTTCTTATTATTGGTATAACCGGAGCATGTCGAACAAATGAACTTACACTACTTAATGTCAATAACGTATCAAAATATTCTCATAATTCTGATGAATTGCTATTAATTAATGTACTAAATACCAAGACAAAAAAAGACCGCAACTTCGTTATTCGCAAGGAATATGTAAACATTGTTCAGAAATATCAAGCTTTACGTCCTTCTAACACCCCAATTGAACGATTTTTTCTACAATATCGCAACGGAAAGTGTATCCGACAACCTATGGGTCAGAATAAAATTGGCAGTATTCCACGAGAAATAGCAACTTTTCTCGGACTTTTAGAACCCCCGTTATACACCGGTCACTGTTTTAGAAGAACCTCAGCCACACTTTTGGCCGAATCAGGGGCTGATCTTCTATCGCTTAAGCGCCATGGAGGCTGGAAGTCTAATTCGGTTGTAGAGGGATACATAGAGGATTCAATCCAAAGTAAATCAAAAAATTGTAATAGTATCGTGGAGGCCATAACGCTGAAAGAACCTCTGTCAGATTCTTGGTCTCGCCCTTCTACATCTAAAATGAGCCCCCATAAGATTGGAAACAATAGCCCTCTCTCGCCAACATTTACGCCAATAGAATCCAATGAATCGGCACAACTATTTAAAATTACTGATACGAGTAGTTTACCACAAAACAGCGCACAATTCACAAACACCAACATAACATTACCTAACAAAAATATTAAACTTAACATAAGTAACTGTAGCAACGTTACATTTAATATTTCTTAATTATTTTCTACTTCTTATTATTTTCTTCAATTTATAGATTATCTTAATGTGTTTTAATTGAAATAAAAATATTTTGTCATTATAAATTGTTTTCTTTTTCATTTTGTCATTTCCTCGCTGAGGTGGGATGAAAAGTTACGTATTGCACTCGAGTGGAAAGATTTTTCACCTTGTGCTCGTTTGTTTCCCTCGCTGACGCTCAGGATTCTAATTTAGAATCACTCGCTGCGCTCGTGATTCAACTTTAGAATCCTTCGCTTGCTCGGTCATCCAAATCGAGCACGCGGTTAAAAAGGAACTTTCCACTCTTGTATAATAAATAACTATTATTGACGTTTCGCAGCCTTTTCATATCTGCTTCGTCAGAATGTATAGTTTTATTTATTTATTTGTAATTACCACGGCATAATACCATTTACAGCTGTTAGTAAAAATATATAACTGGTATTTTTTTCTCGTTTGTCACATATGGTAATGATGCCAGTGGTGACGACTGGGAACAAGCGAACAAACGATGTCCTACCCCATAAAGATAAAGCAAAAATACAATGCAAGAGATCAAAGTGCGACGCGCAATCAGGAAATAGTGTTTAACAGTCTATTTAAGTATGTTTGTTCCTTAGTGGCACACTAGAGAACAAACGCGTGGAGCGATTTTGATGATTCATACGTCAATCGATTCGTCTTGATCATGGGAGTGCTACTAAAGATGATAATAATACGAAACTCAATATGGAGACAATTAGGCGCCATATTGTGAGGGAGAAAAAAAAATAAGTTGACGAAATATGTCCAGTGGGGTATCAGACATCGGTGAAGTTGTTCTCAAAGCATGGCGTAACCAAGGGATAAGGGGGTTTATTTTTTATACAAATATAAGAGATAATAAGACGCTCAGCGCATCATCAGCAGCATCTCTTCCGTTTTTGTTTTCTAATGATGAAGAGAATTATATTTTTTTTTCCAATTTTCAATTGTTCCCCGAAAATATTAAGCACTGCAACCAATTTACAAACACATTACTTCTAATGCACGTTTTTAGGTGGCGCGTTCTGCCTCTTCATTCTTTGACTAACAACTAACTTTTTTGACATTTACAATGTGTAACTAAAAATTAACGTGTATATCCATCGATGCTTTTCAGAACAAGTATCTTAATGGCGTTATAATAAAGCAGTATTGCATCACTAAATTACTTGGTGATTATCAATTCCATCTGTCAAAAGAAGTTAGCGAATAGGTCTCCTGGGTTTCTACAGATACCGAGACAACTGACTATCCTACTGGAGGCTATTCCGCTTGTATCTATTCAATAGTTCAGTACCCTTAGCATTAGCACGAACCATTATCAAATTCGTATCGTTTATATCTATATACCTATTCCTACGGTCAAAAACTGGCTAAGATTTTCACAGAAAATCCCATTGGTTCGTTAAACAGAACTTATGGGAATAAATGGTGTTTTTTTTATGTAAAAAGGGTGGATATCTGACGATTCGACCATCAACGACCGAAAGCATAACAATTTCTACTATCTACCTGTTCTGTTACAGATGGGACGCCAGACGTCCCTTTAGGAACGAATACGTAAAGTTTACCTGACCTAGTTTTTTAAAATGTGAACAAGAGTTGCTAAGAAAACTGAGAGGTATTTGGTAGAAGACTTACTGAAGAAGGTCCAGCAGTAAATTTTGAAAAAGGCACAGTAAAACAGTTTGGTTTTTTGTCTTATTTTTTTATATTTACAGCACAGGTTAAGTTAAACAAAAAATTAAATAACATATACTAAGTACTTAATTAACATTCTATGAATATGTACAAATATATTATTTATTTTTTAAGCAAATAACTGCCTTTATGTTTAAATCTAAAGAAAATTACACTAGAAAATATTCCACGCGAGCCAGGAAACCAGGAGACTAGAAAAAAGTCCCTTCTGCTGCCTGTTCCGCGTGGAATTTTTTCTATATAATTTTCTTTAGATATGAACAAATACGTCAGATTACGATAATACGGTTTGGTAGATCAAATAATAATAATAAATATTTCCAACAGTCACATCAATTAGCCTAGCCCCAAGTAGGCACTGTAGGCTTGTGTGTTATGGGATACTAGGTTAACAGATAGAATACATATACTGATACATATATAAGTATATTTATATAGTAATACATATTCAACATCCATGACTGGAGTACAAATGCTCGTATTCATCACACAAACATCTGCCCCCACCGGGATTCGAATCCGGGGCTTCTCGAGTAGGCGACACCTTAAACCCAGCGTAACCGAACCACTCAGCCACAGAAATTGTCAAAAATCAAAGTAAGTAAAACTAAGATATAAATTCAACAAAATTTTAAGATTGTATATAACACCTACAAAGTCGAGTATTTCAAATTGTGAAGAATAAGTATATTGTTACTTAGACCAAAAACTAAAATTGCTAGACAGTTAACAGTAAGTAGCAAGACACCGCTATGATACAGAGCGCAGCGAAACGAAAGATATAGATTTATTGTCTCTTAGCCGGTGATAAGACCACAAGCCATACACACACATTTTTAAGTGGGTAAATTACAAACTGAATTTTATATACAATACTGGCGCACTAAATACCATTTTACTACAAAATGTTGTCTACCAAGGGTACATTTAATAACTTGAGTATCACATTATTTAGTAACGGCATTAAACATTCGAAATTTTCCGATGAAAGGCACCTCGGGTACACACTAACATAAAATAATAAAAAAAAACAATATCGTTTATTCAGTCTAGGCTGTTACAAGCACTTGTGAATGACGAAAAGCTACGCCATCGGCTCGCAAATCTACGACGGGAGACCTTGTACTGAGAAGAACCGGCAAGAAACTCAGCAAGGGCTGTTTTTTTCTCCCTATATATCCATGTATGTCCATACAAACTCGTCATAATCCATACCCAGTTTAAAGGTCGTAGCAGACATAACTCGGAATGGGATCGTCACCGGATCAACTCGAGACATTCCGTATTCTTTGTGAAACTTTTTTTTATATTTAATAAAAATTTAGGCAAATGACTCTACCGCACCTGATGTCAAGTGGCCATAAAGTCCAGACGCGAAGATAGCTGGAACAGCAGTTATAAACTGCTACACCAACCATCCTCACCTTGCTGGCCTGCAGAAATGCCTCTTCACGCCTCTCTTTAAGGACCCCAGATTGTAGAAAGAGTGCTGGCAAGGAAATTGCCTCGGCACAAGCTCGTGTTTATTCGTGAGGCTATCAGGTGAAGTTCTGTAAAGTGTGCGTTGCAGTAGGGAATTGTATACGGAACGGCTTCGCGTTGATACGGTGACGATCTCATTCCGTATTAATATGTCTGCTACAATTTTAATTTTAAGCAATCTACGACAAAAGACAAGACAAATTTTAAGTACTTTTAAATAATAAGTAAACATTTCAATTACTTGCAAGAGGGGTACAAACCGACTGAATAAAATAAAAACCGTCAAAACTATGACTGATTCAGACCGATTCAGTGAGAGATTGTTAATGAAGGTGCCTTCTCCAACGGAAAACTTTGTTCATTTCGTATCACACTTACAAGAGATACTTTAAGAATTGATATTCCTAAAGGAAATCAGCAGTACATCTTGCCCGTTGATTTTTGGTCCTGGCAGCGTCGTTGCTGCAATATTAGGTTCCTCCTCGATGATATTTACACTTCTGTAACAATAAGTTAGTAAATTTAGAAATTAAATAATTGGATAATCATTGTAAATGTACGTTGAGCCCAATAAAAGTACCGCTTACAACTAAGCGGTACTATTCCCTACACGTCCCATGTAGGATTAGGGATAACTTCTTATAGATTGATGCTGATCGAATTTGGAAGATATTCGGCACACATATTTCGGCACACATAACTTTAGCCTGGAAACATGTTAAGTTCCTGTGGGATTTTCAAAAAAGTTAATACGGACCTGTCGTGGGCGGCAGCTGTCTGTTTGTTCTGCCTCTTCACACTAAAATCGCTGAACCAAGATAGTTTGAGTGCCAAGAAAGTAATTAATAATAGCTTTATTCCAGAGATCATACTTTAATATAAATAAACAAGGAAAAGTTCTTTTTTACATGCCAAAAGATGATTCTGACTGTAAACCTTCTATGATATAATGGTTATTATTCTGCGTTTTGATTTCAATGAATATTAAATTTAAACCTTAAAATGTTTCCAGTTCACAAAATTATGAGTTAAAATTTCTGATAAATGAGTGAATGACTAATGATTTTCCACGATATGAAGTTGATGCCTATCGCTGATATACATTATAATATTATCATATTTAAAGTTCTGCGATGGAAGGTAGACCACGCAGAAGTATTAATTAAATTTAATGCGCATCTGCGTTACAAGTTACGTTATTTTACAAATAATTTACCTGACTTCTCGAAAATGTCTGTTCGATTCATTCAAAAAGTCATACGCTTCAGTAACAATTTCTTTGGAGTTATCCTCGTCAGTCGTCTGCATCTCTGTGATTGAATATTGATTTTCGCTTTCCGTAGTCAATCCTAATGCTTCTGTATAGTATGTTTCTTGTTTTGTTGTAGTTTCTTGCGTTGAGTAATATGAGTCTACTTTTTCCATATTGTTTGCTTCTTTATCGTCAGCTGGTGTTGAATTCCTTTCGTTATCTTTTTCGTCTGGAACATTTTCCTCCACCTTGGTAGGTTCCTCTACTTCAGTAGTGATCTCTGTGGCTACATTAAAATCTTCAATTATTCCACTGATTACTGAGGCTATATCTCCCACATCAATGTATTTACTACTACTGAAATCACTTGGACTAACTTCTGTTGGTTTGTAAGTTTCCAATACACCTGGTTCATTGTCTATCGTAGCTTTAATATATATATTATCCTTCAGAAAGGAAGTATCGAGATAAGGAGTAGATCTTGAGATTTTTCTGTATTCATTTTTAGAAACAATCGGTTCTCTTCTATTGAAGTTAATCTGTCTATCAACTGGACTTTCCGATGACACTTCAGGTGTTTTATAAGTATTTATTTTTCGAGGTGTATCAGAATCTACAGTGAATTTCATAAATCTTTTTGGAAAAAGAGCGGATCGCCTCTCCTGCGGAGCCTTAAAATTAAATGGTGGTGGTTTCCTATTTAAATCGATTACAGGTTTATCGTTAATCATCATATATGAGGATCTGGCATCTACTGTTGTTATTATCGCAGCACCTAATAAAACCTGCAAGTAAGTTATTCATGTTCACTATATAGGTATTTATCCATAATATCCAAGCTTAATCATTTCTTAAATAAGATTTATAATCACTGTAACAGACTTTAAAAAAAATATTTATCTTGTATCACTTGATTCATTATTTTTTTAGTGTATGAATTTAATATTCACTTACCGATGTTAAGAGTATTCTCATTTTTATTTATTTCCGACACATGAACCTTATAACTTCCTCACTAACAATTAATAGAATAACTGTGCGGTACGTTATCACTCTGGGCACTCAAAAGATAATTCTACATTTCACTTTGATTTATAGGAAACGCTGTTGCTTAATGTCAGATCCCTTATAGTAGTATTGTCGACCTTATATGCAAAACTTTTATTATCAACTATGTACTCTGACCCATTGGATTAAAATATAAAATTGTAAAGCAACACTACACGAGATTGAAAAAAGTTATTTATAAGTTCATTTGCCCACTAATTGTCCACATTAATAGGTGTAATAGTTTTGCAAAGTATGTCCCTAATGGCTTTATTTGGTGCAGTTACATCATTATATTAATTCAACGCGTTTAGACAATGAGTATTCGTAATACAGTTGTGTGTCGTAATATGTGGTTAAAAACAGGAACTAAAATTTGTCGATTCAATCTTGTGACGATATTTTAATACTTACATTCGTGCGTTTTGGTATAAATAAATTAACAGAATACAATTACTTGAACCAGAGACGAAAACTGATAAGTGGTATGCCGATGATAACAATATTATTATAGCTACAGCTGAGAACATTAACCTGAACGAACAATACACACAGAACACTACTCATTCATATTAAAATATCTCTCACTTCCAGTTGAGGTAAATGATTCACCGTGAATCGAAAGTCCGGTATAGAACAACAGAACGTGTATCCTTCACTGGGATCGTCCGGATCCCAACTTAGCCAAGAGAAAGCGGTGTTACCCCTACAAATGTCTTTGCAAAAGAACATCGCTCTGGCTTCAGCTGGCGTATAATAGGGATTGTTGATTCCGACAAAAGCTATACCCCGTTTCGTACTCGGCTCGTACACAACTTTATAAAAGTACTGAGGCACAGGTATCACTGGATTGTTGTTCTCATCTGTCGCCAGATAAATGTCGACTCTGTTTCCGAAGTGATTCGTAAGCTGTGTCACTCCGTATATGCCTGTGTAAATCACCGTGTCGTATCCGGCCGCGTGGACGTGATCCCTGAGGTCGACCTCCAACGTGTTCCAGTTGCCACCATTAAATCCGTACCACTGAGGTGCGCAATTCACGTAATGAAATGAAGCTCGCTCAGTAAACGCAAACACGAAATCTGTTTTCGCCGCCAAATGGCCCCTGGACAGCAACTCTGTTTTAGTTATATAAGTTTCGATCATAGGGCCGACTAGCTTTGCAACGGCTGCTTTTTGATTCCAGGGAGAGAACAACGAAGTAACAGGAATGTCTCTGTAGTTGCCGTCATCGAGGAAAAATGGCCTATCGACCCTAGTTTGGTAGTATGCGTTGTAAGGCTTCTGCGTGTACTTCGAATACACAGGATGTAGATTAGCTTCGTCGAAACACGACTCGTAGATGGGATAAAACTGATTTTGAATTCTATACCCGACCTCTATGATTGGGTTTCCTTCGAAACACGTACGGTTGGTGCGTTGGCTACAATGGTTTTTAGGATAGGGACACCTGAAGTATGAAAATTGCGCAGGTGCATTTAAGAACTCGTCGTTGCCGAAGTTTTCTCCTCCTAAACAGGTCACTGTAAGAGTGGGAATTTGAGACCTCATTTCTGGATGCACGAGGTAGCCGGCGTCTTCGCAACTCAACGTCAGCGTGTCTCCGTGCTGAAGATCTATATTCCCGTTTTCATCCGTTGGCTCTAATATTCTATCATCTCTCAATATTACCGGTAGAGGCTCGCCGAAATGAATCCGCGTGTTTAATCTGCACCTTTCGCTATTCTGAACGTTGAACACGCACAGAATCATCGTGAACAACCGTTGAAACATTGTTAAACTCCGATATTTATATGTTTTAAGTAAATTTTGTGATTTTTTGTATTAATATTTTTATGGGATTGTTCAGATTCTTGACACTTAAAATTTTGACTAACAACACAACTTGATAGATAATCATAGATAAAGTCTTTATGTCAAATTGAATGTAGAGTCTGTGCGGAAAGAGAATGGGCGTGGCGAAAAACGGAACCAACGGAACTAACATTAAGATCTAAAGAAAAGTTTAATAGAAAAAAAAACCACGCGGACCAGGCAGCGGACGGGACTCGAACCCGCACCCTTCGCAATCCGGGCGAATGCACTGACCATTATGCTACCACGGCCCCATTCGCCGCGTCGAAATTTTCCTAGCCTTAAGCTGCAAGGCAGCGCCATCTCTTCGCATTTTAGGTAACCCACAATGTCAAATGAACACTTTTTCAAGTATTAAACATTTGAAAGAAGAAATAGCAATTATAGTTATGTTTTTATTTATTTTAAATCTAAAGAAAAGTTTACTAGAAAAAAATCCACGCGGACCAGGCAGCGGACGGGACTCGAACCCGCATCCTTCGCAATCCGGGCGAATGCACTGACCATTATGCTACCACGGCCCTATGGCGAAAAATTAAAAAATAAATAAAAACATAACTATAATTGCTATTTCTTTCTCTATTCTGAGGTATCTCTACTTGTAACCGACTTCTTCGGATTTGATTTTGTTTTGTGTCTGTTCAAAGACAATCGTGACAAGAGTGTAAACTCCGGTCGTGCGTCGGAGCTGACACACACAATTTTTTTTTTACTGAAGTATAGTATGAAAGTGATGACCGGCGGAGTGGGAGCCTGGTGATCTTTGAGACAGGTTTTACAACCTAGTGCAGACACCAGTCTCGGGAAAGCTTCAATTATTAGTTAATTATACTTTGTACTTTAAAATAATTATAAGTCTTTGTAACCCTTCTTGAGAGAAATAAATAGATTATTTTTATTATTACTATGACGACATCTGCCGTAGGTACGGGGTATTCATATATGTGCTCGATTAAAGCACAAAAAAGTTTTAGGTAAACTTTTTAATTAGTAGCATAAAAGACAAAATTCTATTTCAACCATATAAACTCATTCACTGTAACGAAAGTCCGAGGCTAAAACCCCCGTGCGCTGTGTTAACGCCATCTATCCTTCGACGGGAGAAGCTGCAATCGGTCCATCATCATCGTCCATTCATACATTCGTCCCTCACTCATTAGTTTTATATACATTCACTCTACCACTTGCAATTCGAATTCAAAAAAAAAACAACGTACGCACATAATTTCAATAAGATCTGTATTTTACTATGAATAATATTCTACAATCTGAATATCCGATTTTTATTGAGAAATCCACATATAGGTAATGTCCAATTAAGTATTTATTTATAAAATAGAGTTTCTTTAACCACAGATAAAAACAATGATTTACTAAAAATCGAACAATGGTAGTTATTAAAGTTGGTTTACGGAAATTAGCTTTGTATTGAGAAAAAAACACGTGCTTTTATTTGCTGTGTAACAAAAACAACACGTCGTCATGCAGACTTCTTAATGGAATGGAACATACACAATACTTACCTATTGAAAATTCGGTAGAATAATTTCAAATGAAAATTATATTTTATCATAGGTACTTTGAAATTATTCTATCATAAGAATAAAAACCTATTCACACTGAACTTTTTGCAATACCACGCTCGCAAAGTTTATTATGATTTATTCATCTATAAATTATTATATAATATATAATAATTCTTATTTTGTTGTATATTGACCTAATTTTAAGATAATAGTTGATTTGGGTAAATCTAGTAGGTTTCGCATTATCTGTATTTGCAATGAAAAAGGGATGGCGTCCCCAAAAACGCCAGAGATATCCAATATTTTTAAATGTTTCAAATACAAATACAAGTGCTTTATTTCCATACCTTATTATTACATGATATATAAGTATTAAATATGAATTGGAAAAAGGAGTAGGCACAGTGCAGCTGGTTTTAAGCCTACCCATCGTCATATTTTTGTGGTTAGTTATACAATTTAAATTCAATTATTAATAGCCAGTTAAATGTCAAATATATTAATTATAATGTCAATTCATTTAGATGTCATGCAAAGCTTAGTCAATACAATGTCACGTTATATTTAAAATGTCATATTTTTTTACTATAGTCAATTACAATTTATATTATTCTTATACACAATAAATGTTAAATATATTAATTACAATGTCATTTTTTTAACTTGTCACTTAATTACAATTTATATAATTCTTGCACACAGTAAATAATAATATATAATCCAGGTGAATTAATTAATTTAGTACATCTACAATTAATGACTCACATTACTCACCAATAGTTTGCGAGTTTAGCGTATTTAACTTTGCTCTCATAGGGACAGACAATATTTTGTGTGGCTTCATAGTACAACGATCTTCTTTCCACTAAATGAAACTGAATACTACGAAAACCACTAAACAAAACCACCAGCCACTAAATGCAATATCTCCCTTCTAAAAGGGGAGTCAAAACCACCAGTTTTTGTGGAAAATCCACTAAGTTGGCAACACTGATATTTTCAAATTGCTTTTGAATATTTAGCAGATACTTCTTTAATTTAGACTTGAATGAACTATGTGATTCAATCAGTCTTAGGGTTCAAATGTTCCTCGTTTTATTTATCATTCTCTCGTGGTCCATTGACGAAGCCACACGTATCTCTTGGCAGATAATAGGCTAAGCATTCCATTGTCCCAATAGCTGTTGTTTTATTTGTAAATATTAATTATATATCTGTGTCAGTGACTCTTCCATTGTGTTTCATCGGGTGTGCATATAGACATAGATGATTGGGAACTCACAATGTTGAAGGTAAGTTGTCTTTAATTTAACGTTAATTAAGTGTGTGTGTGTGTGTGTTTAATTTATAGATGGCTAGCTGGGCCCCGCGGTGTTACCCGCGTTTTATAAGGGATATTTTCCTGTAGTAAAATGTAGCCTAGGTGTTAACTCCATACCAAATTTGATTAAAATCGCTCCAGCCGTGTAGACGTGAAGAAGTAACAAACATACACACTCACAAACTTTCGCCTTTATAATATTAGTGTGTTAACTAATAAAACAGGGAGAAAATAACAGCCCTTGTTGAGTTTCTTGCCGGTTCTTTTCAGTACAAGGTCTCCCGCCGTAGATTTACGAACCGATGGCGTAGCTTCTAGACATTCATGAGTGCTTGTAACCGCCTAAACTGAATATTTGATTTTGTTAATGATTATTATGATAAATCACCACGTGGATATTATTGGACCTGTTGTGAAATGAAAATGTTTTTGTGAAACTTTTATGGAAGCTTAAAATTTTTTACTAAGTTACTGTACAAATAATTGTGTAAGTCGTTTGTTTACATGCAATTTAAAAATTTTGCCATTGAAACATGTTTGTCATTTTATCCTCGAGTAGACCATCGTGTTTCAATATGATTTACTAAAATAACTTAACATCATCATCATCAGCCTATTAATGTCCCCACTGCTGGGGCACAGGCCTTTCCTATGGATGGAATAGGGAGATTGGGCCATGACCCACCACGCGGACCTAGTGCGGATTGGTGGGTGCTAACGACTGCAGATGCAGCCGGGACCAACAGCTTAACGTGCCTTCCGAAGCACGGAGGGGCTCGAGATAGTAAATGTTTGGTCACCCATCCAATGACATTAACATTCAGAACTTTTTATGAGAGCCTTATTTTGGGACTAAACTTTATATATGTTGTATTTGTTATTATAACAACTATTTATTACAAAACAAAGACTCGTTGTTGTCTGTATGTGTGTTTTGATCTCGAAAGCTACTGAACGAATTTTGATGAGGTTTTCTACGATCGATTTGATGATTTTTCATTAAATATTTCGCTTATAGCTAAAAAGTATAAAAAGACATGTTGTGTACAAGTTTTGAAAGTGGTAAACCAAAATGCCGAGTGATCGAGCGTTAAAATTGTTCATGTACTTCTTCTGGATAGCGTTCCACACTAACGTTAAACTCATTTCTTAAGTCCCTATCAGTCTCATCATCGATATCTATACTAATATTATAAAGCTGCAGAGTTTGTTTGTTTGAACGCGCTAATCTCTGGAACTACTGGTCCGATTTGAATGATTCTTTTAGTGTTGGGTAGTCCATTTATCAAGGAAGGCTATTTTTTTTTTTTCAAAATTAGGGATCCGTAATAAAATTGCTATTTTGTAACACAAGGTGTAAAATCGAAAACCTATTTTTGCGTGCGCTGCAAAAACTATTGACAATAGAACAAAATGATGTACTACGGGTTTGTAGATCCCATTAAGACCTACATAAAAGTCCGCGAGAACATATATCTAGCTATCATGGTTTAATCACAATAACCGGTTTTTTGTTCAAAATAATTATTAAATCGTCTGAAGAAAAAAAAACTGCGTTAAATATGTATCGTAATATTAATCTTTATCGATTAAGCATTATGTTATCAAGAGTATTTATGTAGAAGTAAAATACTTTTTGTTTCATCTCAATCGGATATTTTGTTTAAAAGTTATCACGAGTGTAAGATGTTAAGAGTTGGTACCTATATATTTTATCTCGGTATTTCCACGGAAACGAGAAAAACGCGGGTGAAACCGCGGGGCACGGCTAGTATTTTATATATATGTACGTATGTATATGTGCATTGCATGTGTATATATATATATATATATATATATATGTGTGTGTGTATATATTTATATGTCTTGTGCTCATGTATATTTAATTATTATGTATAATATAAGTAGTTTCTATTATGGTATGTTTATATTATTAATAACTTTTTTACTAAAGCCGCATTCGTGACTTTCTGTACTTCTGAAGGTTGACTGGCAGAAAATGCTTTTAGCGTTAAGTCCGTCTTTTGTCCATTTTGTAATTGTGGCAATAAAGTTTAAATAAATAAATAAAA